GGTTGGCGCAGGATAGAGCAGGGTTTAGGGCTGTTGTGCATAGGGTCGCTATGAGTCGGAAACGACTCGACGGCACATAACAACAACAACAACAACAATCTCCTTGAAAAATGAATTTGGTATCTTTATTGGGATTGCACTGAACATATCGATTGCTTTTGGTAGGATTGTCATTTGCACAATATTGAGCCTTCCTATATCCACAAACAAGGAACATTTTTTCCATTTATTTAGGTCTTTTATTATGTCTTACAGAAACGTTCGGTTGTTTTCTCTCTACACGTCTTTTGTGTCTCTAGTTAGGTTCACTCCCAAGTATCTCGCTTTGTGGTTGGCTATTGTAAATGGTATTCTTTTCTTGGTTTCCTTCTCTTTGTTACGGATTTTTGGACATTGATCTTATATCCTGCTCCTCTACTAAATTGATATACTACTTCTAACAGGGTTGTTGTTGTTGTTGAGTCTCTGGGGTTTTCTGTGTACACTATCATATCATCTGCATATGATGATAGTATAACCTTCTCTTTGCTGAAATGGATGCCTCTGATTTCCTTCTCTTGTCTTATTGTCTTCAATACAATATTGAATAGAAGTGGTGACAATTTTCATCCTTGCCTGGTACCTGCTGGTAAGGAAAATGCTTTCAGTCTTTCACCACTGAAAATGATATTAACTCTTGGTTTTGCATATATATTTCTCACTATGTTGAAGAAATTTCCTTCTATTCCAATTTTGCTGAATGTCTTTATCAGGAAGGGGTGTTGGAGTTTATCAAATGCCTTTTCTGCATCAATTGCTAAGGTCATATGGTTCTTGTTATTTGCTTTGTTAATATGGTGAATTAAGTTGATTGTTATTATGTTGAAACATCTTTACATATCTGTTATGAATCCTACTTGGTCGTGATGAATTATTTTTTTATGTGCGTTTGGATTCTATCAGCTAGGATTTTGTTAAGGATTTTTGCATCTATATTTATGATAGATATTGGTCTCTAGGGGTTTTTTTCTTGATAATATCTTGCCTGATTTTGGTATTAGGGTTGTGCTTGCTTCATAAAATTACTCTGGGAGTGTTTCTTCTTTTTCTATTTTTTTGAAAGTAGAATTGGTGATAGATCTTCCCTGAATGTCCGATAGAATTCAGCTCTGAAGCCATCTGGTCCAAGTTTTTCTTATGGGGAAGTCTTTTTATGACCTGCTCAATTTCTTCTTTTGTAATGGGTCTGTTCAAGTGTTCTAAATCTGTTCGGGTTAATCTGGCCAGGGCATGAGTTTTAAGGAATTTGTCCATTTCCTCTAGGTTTCCAAATTTATCAGAGTATAGTTTTTCATAGTATTCCAATATTATCAGTTTGGTTTAATCTCATTTTGTTGTGCTGTCACCTCTATAATTTCTTAATTGAATTATCTGTGTCTTCTCCTTTTTTCTTTTATTAAATTTTCCAGTGGTTTATAAATTTCATTGACTCTTTTGAAAAACCAGCTTCTGGTCTCATTGATGGTTTCTTTCTTTTTTTTTTTTTTCTGTTCTCTATCTTATTGGTTTCAGGTCTTGTCTTTATAATTTCCTTTCTCTAGAGGTTTTAGCATTAGATTGTTTTTCCTTTTCTAGTTGATGAAGGTGTTGAGTTAGATAATTTTTCCCCCCTTTTTTATGTGTGTGTCTTTTGCTGCATCCCAGAGGTGGTTTTGGTATGTTGTATTTTCATTTTTATTTGTTTCAAAGAAGAATTATTTCATTCCTTCTTTTCTTTTCATGTTCTAGTCAAGTGTTATTTAGCTTCCACATGGGTAGTTTTGTAAGCTTTACCCTATTATGGTTAATTTTTAGGTTTTGGCCAATGGTTTAATTTTGAGTTAACTAACACGAGAGAGAGAGAGAGAGAGAGAGAGAGACAGAGACAGAGAGACAGAGATGCAATTTACAGACAACCTTAAACACAGCAAAGTAATCAGTAAAAGGGTAAGTAAGCACACATAAGTAAATGGGACTCTCTGCCCTGATCTGGGCACTGTATCCTTTTTGAGCAGCAAACACCTGTGTGGCAGGTGAGGGCTTATTTGACTTTGTAAGTTGCTGGTACAAAGAACCACAGAATCTACACAAAAGGTCTGTGGTTTAGGGAAAAATCTTGGTGCTTTCTAGAAACATCTGACATTCCTGATGCAATCAATTCAAGTCAAGTAGAGCTGTGAAGGCCAAAGGGAGCTGGGCATTATTTATCTACATTCGTCGAATCATTCCTGCCACATGGAAAGAAATACTCACTTTGGGGCAAAATGCTTTGCTGTTGGTTGGCAGGAACTGCGTGGTTTTGAAGTTGATGTAAGAGGAAATAGTCTGGAAGTGAAAAGATAAAGAATTAAAATGTGAGAAATGAAAGTTCCGAAACCTGGTTTAATACCCCCAGATTGGTATCCCCGTAACAATGGGTGCAGTAGAGTGAGTTCCAACTCATAGAAATCCAATGAATGAGGCCACCCAGTCTGGTCTCCCCATCATAGTCACTGCTGTGCCTATGCTGATGTTGCAGCCACTGTCCATCCAGCTTGTTGAGAACCTCCCTTTCTTTCAATAACTCTATTTTTCTTTCCATTTTTTTATTTGAGTGATGGTTTACAAATCATGAGTTTTTCACTCATTCATTCATAGATACTTAGTTTTTTAACATTAATTATAATTAGTTAAAATGTCTAATCAAATTATTGTGTTTGCCTTTCTCTTCATCTCCCCCCCGTTTTCCCCTCTCCTATATGAATTCTATCCGTATGTTAACCTTCCCTTAGTTTTTGCATTTTTATTTCTACTTATTTTTATTTTATATTGATTTGCATACAATACTCACATATACCGTTTATCATTCACGTCCCTTAAATTTCATGCGTTTCTTCATTTACACTGTGTTTCAAACACTGACTCATATACATTGTGTTTTATAAAATTAATCACTATTAATGACTATTATTAGCCTGTCTTTCCAGGTCCCCACTGGATCTTTCCTAATTCCGTCACCATCCCATCCCCCACCCCAACAAACTCAATTATCCTAGAGATTTTCTCCCTGTCTCACTTTCTATCCTACTGTCCCCTCCCCTTGCTCTTGTAGACTTTTCGTATACATCTTACTACTTATCCTCCTATTTTTACAATAATGATCTTATGCAGTATTTGTCCTTAGGATATTGAGTTCACTCAGCATAAATATCTCTAGACTCTTCCATATTATATAGTCTTTTACAAAATCCTTGTAGAAATCCTGTACAACCCAGCTATTGATTTTCACTACTAGGAATACATCCCAAAGAAAACAGAACCAGGACACAAATGGAGATTTGTACACCCACGTTCATAGCAGTGTTATTCACAATAACAAGAAAATGGAAAAACAGCCCAAAAGTCTATCAGCAAATTGAGAAATTATGGTATATTCACACAATGGAATACTATGCAGCAGTAAGAAAATCTTAAGACTTTTTTCCCCTTGTTTTTTAGTGTTTTGTTTTATTAATTATTTTAATGTAACATATATATATTTTAATGCGTATTTTTCCATTTAATTTTCCCCCCATTCATTTATTGCTGCACATTTTCCTCACTGCCCACCCCTCCTCCCCAGTTCGTTTTTCTCTTTGAAGAAAAAAAAATTCTCTCATTGTTATACCTTTCCCCCAGTCCACAGTCCACTTTAATATGTATTTCTTTTTCTGTAATCTTGTCATGAAAATAATACCTAATCCTATATTCCTTTTAACAATTTTCTCTCTCATCTGTTTCAATGCAGTATACATTATTTATCCCCTCTTTTCTCAGGTCCTCTCCAACCCCGATGTCAGTGCCACTTTACAACAATGACATCATGCAGTATTTGACCCTTGGCTTTTATATTAGTGGTCTTATGCCATAATTGGCATTTTGTGGCTGACTTGTGTCACTCGGCATAACTTGTTCTAGATTCATTCATTTTTGTGCATTATTTCACAAATTCTTAGTCATTTTTTTTTTAGCAATACATAATACTTGACCGTGTGACGGCACCATAGTTTCTCTTTAGCCATTCATCAGTGGATGGGTTCTTGTGACCTCCTCTTTTCTAAAGCATGATGCCATTCTCTAGGCACTGATCCCTCCTGATAACATGCCCTCACTTCCAGCAAGCATTCTGGTCATGCTTCTTCTGCATCATATATGTTTTCTCTTCTAAAAACCTAAAGTGTTTTCAGCATTCTCCACCAATACCATAATTCAAAGGCACCACTTTCCTGATCTTTCTTATTCATTGCCTAGTTTTTGCATGCATGTAGGTCAATTGGAAATACTATGAATTGGATCAGTCCCATGAAAAACTCAAACTCATTCACAGTGAGTAGGAAGACACTCATAGCTGACCCTCCACCACAGTTCCAAGGCTGTAAATTGCACAAGAGGAGATTGCTTGTCCTCCCATGGACCCCCTGGTAGGTTAGAACTACCAGAGAGGGGTCACCTTTAGGTTTGTGGTGCACCCTATAAACCTAGCCACCAGAGCTCTTTTTAGCCCTATTCTAATCCCAAACATTGAAAGGAAAAATTGGAATAGATTATCTGACAACTGTCATCTTTACAATCTGGATGATTTTGTGGAACCCCAGACTCAAAGCCTTGGCACTTGTTGACACCCAGGGAGCCCTGAGGTCGGCAGCATGAAGTTCACAAAGCACTTCATCCCATACCCAGGGGCCAGTTGTTGCTAAGGTCTGGGGCGGGAAGCTGTCTTCCAAGTTGCAACTCTGAGACTAGTAAAATCAATGTGCAGGCCACAGCTTGCAAATAAGTGCTGTGCTAGGCTTCCTAGCCCACTGGAATTCTGCTGCCAAGTCCACCGTTTTGAAAATCTCATGAGAGAAAGAAGGTTGCAAATGAAACCCAAGCCCCCTGGTCTTACCCTATCCCAAAAGTTCTTACTTGGGCTTCCCTGTGCCCTTGCCTGGTGGCCGAGGGGTCTTGATGAGCTTCCGCGGTCCCAAGTTCCAGGGGTCCCAGCAGGTGCAGTAGATGAGAGGATTAGGGTACATGGCTCAAAGTTGGGATGAGTTTTGTTTGCCAGGTCACAAAACTCTTGCTAAAATGGGGGACAGTACAGAGGGTTAAACCGTCAGAGCCAACCAGTAATGTCTTAGAGATAAATTGAGAAGAACCCAGAACACAGATAGATTCTAAAAGTTGTTGATTTGACACAAGTCTTGTTTATGGATAACACGTCTCTCCTGATTATGCAGGAGAGCTGACCTCAAAGCAATTGAAAATGTGTCATAATTGAGTGCTAATGTATTGAGTATTTCACATTAAATATTCAATTATTATCATCAAATTTTACAGGTGAGTCTACTGAGGCTTGGTGAGGCCAAAGATATCGCAGAGTTGGGGATCAAGAGAAGGTATGAGATCACAGGGAGGAGATGCAAAGGGCTTTGAGTAATGGTCATTTATCAACAGTTTATCATAGAATTTGAGTAACTGTGCATACCAGTTAAATTACAATCCTTGACTTCCAATACTCTTCCAGGAAGGAACCACTATTAATATTTGTTTTGAGTATCTTTCCAGAAATATTGTATTATATAATATTGTATTATATGCATAGTATGGATTTATTTGTCTATATTCATATATACATATATGTGTGTGTATATACATATATATATTTAAACACACACACATATATAACTTTCACATGAAATTATAGAATTTGTACCAATGATATACTTTACTCATATATAAATTATAGAGGTATAATTTAGAAAAAAATTATAAATTATTATTTTTATTTATAAATTATGACATTGTTATATATGTATATATTTATAACACTATATACATGCATAGCTCACTTTGAGTCAGAAATGACTTAATGGTGCAATATATATATTTAGATATTTCCATATCAGCATAAGCTACTGCATTCAGTCACTTGACTTTTCATTGTAGGCATCTAACCCTGTAGCTTTCCCCCCTTTCCCTGCCTTCCAAATACTCTTTCTTGCTCTCTTTCCTTTTCTGCATCTCTTCCAAATGATTTTAGCTGAGATTCCATAGGCTAACTGTGCCAACTGATGACACCACAGCCTTTGCTGAGCCCAGCTGAGAATTCAGAGAAGTTAACATTTAAAAGCTAGCGGGGGTGGGGGGTGGGGGTGGGAATGACATAAAACATCTCTTCCAAAAAGCTTACCTGGGACTGACCAAAGATTTGCTTTTCTCATATGGCTCCTACCCCAAGTTAAGTTTCAAAGAAATCGCAATGTCATAGAGAAACTCCCATCAACACAAAATCAGAGCAGGGCAAATCCAGAAGTTACAGAACTCAAAAGTTCAGTGGTCATTCCAGTTGATTGACATAGCTAAGCAGAAAAATCCACAGTATTTGTAAAGAGACCTCGTCACAAGTGAATCCAATAAAAACTTTTAAAATTCTGAACTGGCATAAACGTGGGTTTCTCTTTTCATCAATACAAACCAGTAGGAGTCTCTCAATATTGTAATGAGGTTAACTAGAGGAGAAAGTTGCCCTTCCATTCAGACTTCCTTGACCTGAGCCAGTTAAGTCCTCTGTCCTTAGGAGATGGCCAGCAGAGCTTTGTTTGTTGTTGCTATGGAAACAGAATGACAACACCTCATTGGCTAAGAGCTCTCAGCCCTTAGAGAAAGCTGGAGAAGCCAGTTAAGATAGTCTTCAAGGCTGGAATCAGTGGACCTCAACAGCAAGGAATTCACAGTCCTAAGCCTGGTTTCCGGGAGCCTGGTGGCTTAGTGATAAGGAGCTGCACTACCAACGTGAAGGCAAGAGGTTTGAATCCATCAGCAGCTCCGCAGGAGAAAGATGTGCAATCTCCTCCTGTGCGATTTATTTATTGTTGTTGTTAGGTGCCGTCAACTGGAGTCTGACACATAGCGACCCTATGAACAACAAATGTGAACCCTGTCCTATCTTGACCATCTGACACTCGAGTCCATTGCTACAGTCACTGTGACCCAATCGCCTGGAGGGTTCTCCTCTCTTTCCCTGACCCTCTCCCTCTCCGAGCACGATGTCCGTTTCTCAGTAGTAACATGTCCAACGTAGATGAGATGAAGAGTTGTCATTCTTGTCTCCAAGGACCATTCTGGCTGCACTTTCTTCAAGACATGCCTGTTTGTTCTTTCTATGCAAAATTCACACCTCTAAAAACTCTCAAGAGGACCAACTGTGAGCCAGCTCTGACTCCATGGTACACAACTCTGTTTTCTACCTTCACTGATGAAGAGTAAACAACTCTGGTTTCTGTCATCAGGCAAAGTGAACAAGATACATTTACTGAAGTAATAGAAATCATGTTAAACTATTCTCAATATATAATAGGCCTATGGCAATAAATGACAAACAGAATCTGAAACATTAATGTCTCTGCTACTTACTAATAGAAATCTCTAAAAGTCCAAAATAAGTATGTTTTTATTTGAATTTAAAATATCTTTAACATATGCAAAAGCAAAAATTCCCCAGGACAGGGGTCATTTTAGTCACCTAGGTAGGGTTTTAAATTTTGTTCTCTCACTATCTCCTAAATAGCATGCCTCCGGAAACTCTGTGAACTTTGAGAAATGCCGATGGTTGTAGAGGGGCTTCAGGCCTTTTGTTCATAGGGTCATGCTCAACTTGAAGGCAATCAACAAAAACAATAGACAATAATACTTATAGAGTAGTCTGCACTACCTGTTAAGTTTGTCATGTGATGGAAGCTCACGTTGCTGTGATGTTGGAAGCTTTATCACTGTATTTCAAATACCAGAAGTCACCCATGGGGAGAAGCTTCAATGTAGTTTGCAGACTAAGACAGACTAGGCTGTAAAAAGATCTAGTGATGGAAAGTAAACTTCATAGACGACACTCGCCTGCTTTGGGTCCGTCAGCAGGAGAGAAGAGGCCTTGTGTTTAATGCAGTAGGTGCGAGTGAGGGTGAAGGAAACCTCTGGCAAGATGCAATGACACGAAAGCCACATGGAACTTGAACATGCCCATGATTATGAGGAAGACAGACAACTGAACGAGTCATTCTGTTGTGCATGGCCTTATGATCACGATTTAGAGCTGACAGCATCTTATCACCCATCTATCTAACTTATAAACTCATTGATGCTGAGTCAGAACTGACTCATGACTGACCCTCCACTGGGTTTCCATGGCTGTAAATCACATATTGCCTGTCTCTACTAAGAACTTCAGGGGGATTCAAACTACCAGAGACATGGTCTTTGGATTAGCTTCTTAGACCACCAGGGCTGCCATCTATTATAGACCAATAGTTTTTACTACTACTATTACCTTACAACTCACATTTTTCATATTTTATAACTCGAAAGTTTTATGCAATCCATTCGTGTCTTGCTTTCCTTTTCTCTTTCATTTTAAAATGAAAATTTACTGCAATTCATTACACTGATTTCAGGGCCCACTGGTGCATCATAAGCAAGTTTCAAAAGTTGTAAATGTATCCAGTTATTCAACTATTTAATATATTGCCTACTGTGTACGACTCGACGGCACTTAACAACAACAACTGTGTGCAGGTATTGTTGGGTAAGCAAGACAAAGCTCAGCTTCTGTCCTTAACAGAGCTGAGAGCTGAATAAATTTAATAAAGGCACAATGCAGTGGACCTGACAGCTGGCATTGCTCCTCTACTTGAACGGGTTATAAAATTTTTAGTCAGGAAATGGACCTAAGTCTGGAAATTCAAAAGGTCACCATGACTTCAAATGTAGAGAAACACTTGGCGAGGCCGACAGAGGAGAGAAACCAGTCAAGTTCATGGTGGGGGTCCACACAAGACAATTGAGGCAGCAGTGGGATGGGAAGAGGAGGAAGCAGTAATACTTGGTGACTGAAAGAATGACAGGCTGGCAAGGGGGCAATGACTGGGTGTCCAGCTTAAGAAAGTGAGTTGTTAGGTGTCATCCAGTTGAAAAGGATTCCCAGCGATGCTATGAACAACAGATCCGAATCCTGTCCTCTCCTGTACCATCCTCACATCCCTGATAAATGGGAGTCCACTGGTGCAGTCATCGTGTCAACCCATCTCAATGGGAATCTTCTTTCTAGCTGACCCTCCACCCTTCCAAGCTTGATACCCTTTTCCACAGAATAGCCTCTCTCAGCAATATGTTCAAAGTATGAGGGACAAAGCTTTGCCACCCTTGTCTCCAAGGCGCACTCTGGCTGTACCTTTTCCAAGATCTACCTGCTTGTTCTTTTGGTAGAACACTGATACTTAGACAGTGAGTAGGAACTGCTATTTATTGAGACAGAGAAGGCCGAGGAGAAACACCTTAAGAGAATAAGACCATGAGTCAGTTATGGACACGTTGTTTTGAGGTGCTAGGGATCCAAGTGTTGCTTTCCAGCAGAGAGAGGTTTCTCAAGCTCAAAAGAAGTCTAGGCTAGAAAGACACTAGAAATCAAACGAACAAGTATATAAACCAACGAATGTTTCTTAAGAACAGTCTAAATACATAATGCTATATGTATTCAGTAAGGACACGCATACTAGTGTAGTTCTAAATGAACGGAAAAAGATGGCGGTGAGCAGCATGCCCATTGCCCCAAATCTTTACCCTTAGTGATAACGTTTTGAGAAATGCTGTGAATATCACCAAAGCTCACGGTAAAGAAGTTGTTTCATACTTAGTCCTCCAAAATATTTTTTTAAACTTTTAACATAACACAGTAATTCAATTGTCAAGGACTGAGAGAACATCTATGGATTTTTTTTTCTTTAGAAGCTAACAATTTTCATATTTGTTTATGGGAAGGCTACTAAATAGCCAAGGGTCTCAGTAATAAATTGTGGACTATGGGAAAAGAGCTGCATAACCATGACTTTGGGCTTTTATTTTTCAGGACTATTACCCTCCTAAGGAAACACTATGGGATATAGATAGATAGATGCTCTTCATTCTATCTTTTTAAAAAAGTATTTAAAAGAAAATACAGTATGGTCTGGTAACTTCTGAAATCTATTGCATGCATGTTGTATGACATCTAGAGACTGTTTTGTTTCGTACAGAAACAGTATGATGGAAAGACCTCGGTATTGTTTATAACTGGGCAAAGCACAAGGACAAAAAAAAACCAAGCAGACAAATAAAAAGAAGAGACTCATGTTTATTATCTGATTTACATTGGACAAAGCAAAGGTGGTGTACAAAGAGCTGTTTGACAAAGTGCAAAGCCCCAGAGACCAAACAGTATTGCTTCCTGGCTGAGGGCACAGGGGCAGTGAAGGCCACTCCTGGGCAGCTGTGCTCTGCAGGGCAACCACTGGGCCAGCCTCTGGCTGCTGCTGAACTGCCTGAGGAGCTGGCAGGCTGCACACGTCTATCCAAGAGGTGGACCATTCAACACCAACTGTCCGATTCCCAGATGTCAGGTGAGGAACTACCAAGTGGTAACCACGTACTAGGACAGTCATAAAGAATAACAAGCTTTCAATACTGTGAATCGATTCCTATGAGTTACTTCTAACTATTTTCTTCCTTTGCCAAAATCTATGCTTTATGTCAAAGGAAAGGTTTACTAGCACAAACTTTTATTTTTTAAATAAAAATCTCATTTTAACAAGAGTCATTAATTCTCCCTAAGGTTCACTCCTAAGGCTACTTACATATGATTTGGGATCATCAAGTTTTCTTTCTATAGGTTACTTCTTAAAAGGAACTTTTAGTTGAGTTCACAAAGATCTCTCTCATACTATTTAACAGAATACTCAGAAATACCTGAGGTTAAAAAAAAATCACTGAAAAGCATTTTGAAGGAGGGGGAAGGAAATAAAAAAAGACTCGAGGTTTTCTGTACTGGCAAGAAGGTACACACACAGTTGATAAAATGGCAACATTAAACTATGAATAGTACCGAAGGATCACAGATAAGTTTAGAAGGAATTTCCTTTATGGAATCAGTTCTTACCATACTCTGTAGACAATTCTATTACCACAGGTCTGTTTCAGGCTGCATCCATCAAAAGCGGTTTTTCGGTGGAAACTTTAAGAGCAATCTAATTTTTAAATAAGGATTGATTTCTAGAGACAAGCATGCACCAGTTAATCGTCATCATTGCTTTGCTTTTTTTTCCCTTTTGGTGGTACATTCATATCAAGTTCATCTTCAAGGCCTAATTCTGGCCCATTTTCATCAGATGTACTTATTTGACTGCTCATTTCTCCTAAACCGAATCCAATGCCCTTACATTACTCCCGACTCACGGGAACCCTCCGGGACAAAGGAGAATCGTCCCACCGGCTTTTCAAGGCTGGTATCTTGACAGGAGCAGACTGTCTCACCTTCTCCCTGAGAAGCTGTTGTGTTTACCACAGGCTAGTGCTTAACCAACGAGGCTCCTCGGAGCATCCATTTCCCCCATCCTTTCCAAAGCAAAGATCTGAAGTGATCATTTAAGCATCAATTATTGAAAAGTATACTAATTAAAATAAAAAACACAAAAAACTCTAGCTTCATTCATATTTATATAATGTATAGACATCTGGCAATTTGATACTTTTTACTCTTCTCTGGTCCTATGTTTTTTTATTTCCTGATGCTTCTTGGAAACAGTGAATGCCCAAGCAACAGGAAGACTAGTTTTTAGAGAACAAATTAAAAAAATCTTAAGAACTGGCTGAAGCAAGCACCCCAGAGTTACTTTACAAAACAGAAACTCACTGGCTACTTATTAAAAAGTGAATTGAACATTTTGAGGATGTAAACATCGGGAATTCTGTGCAATGCCTGCCACATTCAGGGGAGATTCTTTCATTTACAGAACCGCTGAAATCCTTTCTGACATGTACATGTACATGTACATGTACATGCTGACCTCAGCATGACTGACAGGGAGGAGAATGGGGTGAAACTTGTTTTTGAGAAACTTGTTTAGACAAATTTTACTAAAAGTTTATAAAAAAAAGGGATGGGAAAACTCATGCACTACTGCCTGCATGTTGATTTTTAAGCCTGTTTGAATGAACAGCTGTCAAGCAGGAATGGAGCACTGGCAAGAGCAAGACTCTGCTAGCTTTTCAGGAAACTGCTTTTCATTGAAGACAATGGAACTACACATTTGTATAATAAGCACCAAAATGATCACGTAATGTGTGCTTCTCTCCTCCACCTCGTTTAAAGTATGATAGGATTAGCCTCTCACTCATCTTTTCTCTATCACATCTTTTATATAATGGCATTATTTCAGAACAGCTCTGTCATCTGAAAAGGAGCAGGTCATGATCAGTAATGCTCAGAAAACAGATGAGCTTCTTCCCTTCTCATAGCCTATATCACACTGTTGACTGCTGCACCCTAATCCCAAGTCTCACTTTGCCATTTCATAGTTTATAAAGAAAAGAAAAGGATCCCCGAGGACAAATGATTAACTCTCTTGTTCATTAAGTCCATCCTGTAATTCTACAGCTGCCAAGAACAAGGCAGATGTGTTTTAATTTTACATTAAAAACAAAACAAAAATATCCACACACAATCTCAAAGCAAGCACCTGGGTTTTCACTTCAGTATATAATTTAATGTGCCTGAGAATTTTTGTGCAAATATATGTTATCTTTCATTAAAAATATGCATAGCATACTGTGGAAAAAATTTAATTGCAACCAACCTTCCTTACAAAAAAAATTTACATATATAAATATATAACATTCCCTAATTCCTACTGATTGCACTTCTGGCTTAACTTCTTCCAGTCTCCAAGGAAATCTGAAAGATATACACTTATGTTCATACTCCTTGGCCACTCTATCTACCCAGAAGGAATATTCTGGAAACAAGCTCCCTTTGTTTCATTATACCCATCTCTTCCTTCTTCTTAAAGCAAACCATTCCCAGCTCCACCCCCTACCCATACTGTTTTGTTTTTTTTCCTTTTGTGCGTGTTGTATAAAAATACAAAATATTTAAAAAAGAACAGCCAAATGCCTTCGTGAATTGTAAATACAAAGGGAATTTGGGTGTCTCTGTGCTCCCCAGGGCACAAAGGCCTGAAAACAAAGAGAAGGGGGCATCTCTATTACTGATCTTGTTTGCTAATGCTTTAAAGATACTATTACACACACACACACACACACACACACACGAGAAAGACAGACGGCATCTCACTATCTCAGTCACAGACTGAGTTCACCCGACTGATCCTTTTGGTTGGCCTTCTTTAAGTAACAGCCAAATCTTTACCCTTTCTTTATCCTTAACTATCTTGGGTTTTCCCTACTTATAATCACCTGAAGTAAGTGTGCTAGGAAGTTCAGTAATTCTGGTATGTTTCAATATTACTGAATTTGTAAAATTAACTTTTTTATTGTCAAGACAAGAAAAATCTAACTACAGGGGTCTATCTACCAAAGGAGTGTATTTAACTTTTTATTTTCTGTCTCCAAACACTCACGGTCCTTCCATTTAGAAGTCTAATTTACCAGACCTGCTTCATTCCAATTGTTTCCACACTTCCACTTTCCCTTCTCTACATTCACAGCCCTTCTACGACGTGCCTTTACTCTCAAGTCAGACCAGACCACACGTGCCCATGCATGTCCATCCTTCACAGGCTACTTTGTACAAGAAGAGGTCAGTTAACTGCTGAGCCCCTGTCCTCCTTCAGGATACCCATTTTAAGTGAGGAAGTGCAAATTGGGGTTCCGAAGTTACCTATCATGACTGGAAGACTTTGATTCCGCCTCAGTCCACCTAACAAATTGCTACCTGAATTTAAATAAACAGCAGAGTCTGGTTTTTGAAGACCAAGTTCTGCGTCTTGGCTTCCACCATTTTCCTGGGCATCAGGGGTCTTGATCACTCTGGCTATCCCCAGTCTCTTCAGCCTGTCCACTAAATTCATCTTCAACTGGCCAACATCAGGAGGGTTCCGGGAAGGCCTCAAGCCATACATCTCCTGGAGGAATGTTTCAGCAGGTCGGGAGGCCAAAAAGTTTTCAGAAGCATGTGCTCGAGGCTCAAAAGGGAAAGGAGAAGGACAAGGTGAGTGAGAAGGTGAATTTGGTGGAGTGGAAGGTATGGCCAGGGTCTTAGGGGGAGGCTGGAGGACGGGGCTCTTGGAAACTGGGCTGTGGTATACTTTAGCAGAGATGCCTCGCTCTTGTAGCAGTTTGGCCAAGCTCATGGTGCTACTGAAGGTGACAGTAGAATCTCGTCGGTTGGTGATGGATTCACTAATACTGAGTCTGTAGGACATGGCAGGAGAATTCACCGCTGGGCTTGATGAACTGCTTCCACTACTGCCACAGGATAACGAAGGGAACCCAGAACTTCAAGAAAAGAAAGAAAAAAATAAAACAGAACAGAGTTTAGGAATAAAAAGCAATTCCCACTCTGTACTTGAAATAAGTATAGTACTTATCCTTAGTAAAAATGCAGAGACTAGTTTCACTTTTGTAACTATATTTTGTGGACTACATTCAGGAATAAAAATTCTAATCTGGTATGTCAATGACTGTATCTGTGAATCTATGGGATTCTGTGAATCATCCAAATTTGCAGGTAGAAGTTTAAGACTCAAATATTTGGCTCACTTGAGTAAACATGTAAGACTTTCTAGTATAATTTATACGCTAATGTATTATTCTTCATTACATTTTATATTGTTCAGTGCTATCGACATGGAACCAACTCATAGCAGACCCTTCAGTAGGTTTTTAGGGGCTGTAAGTTGTATAGAGGAGACTACCAGCCTCTCTTCTGCAGAGCTGCTGATGAATTCAGACTGTGTGCTCTCAAGCTAGCAATGTAACTATTTACCACTAGGCAACCAGAGCTCTACTATATCCCTCGTAAGTGCCTCCCTTCATCTTTCTTTTCTTCATCTTCTGTCGTGTTCTACAAGGGGGTTATGGTGGCTCAGTGGTAAGGAACTATGCTACCAATTCAAAGGTGGTGGTGGTGGTGGTGGTGGTGGTGGTGTTATGTGCCATCAAGTCGCTCGGGACTCAAAGTGACCCTTTCTGTGTACAATAGCCCTAAATCCTGCTCTGTCCTGTGTCAATCTCACTATCTCTGACACACCCACCCCCACTACTCCAGACACTGAATCAATCTACCTCATAGAGGGTCTTCCCCTCCTGTGCTGTCCCTCCACCCTTCCAAGCATGAAATCCCTCTCTAAGGACCGGTCCCTCCTTGCAACATATCCATAGTATGTCAGACGAAGCTTCAGAATCCTTGCCTCCAAGGAGCAGCCTGGTTTAAACCTCTCCAGGTTGAACTTGTCCGTTTTCTTGGCAGTCTATGGTATATTCAATACTCTTCTCCAACACCATAGCTCAAAGGCATCAATTCTCCTTCTATCCTCCCTAGTCATTGTCCAACTCTCTGATGCATAACAAGTGATTGCAAAGACCATGGCCTGTATCAAGAGCACCTTAGTCTTCAGAGTGACACCACTGCTCTTCAATACTCTGGAGAGGTCCCTAACAGCAGACTTTCCCATCGCAATACAAATCCACCAGCTACTCCATGGGAAAAAGAGGAGGGTCATTTATAAGTCAGTTCCAACTTAACAGTACATAACAACAACCATCACCATATTCTACATATTAAAGTTACCGTAGGCCCTTTTGAGAGCTGGTAGGATAGAAACAGGAGAAGCGTGTTATTGTTGTTAGGTCTGACAAGTCGAGTACAACTTATAGTGATCCTATGAACAGGAGATCTAAACCCTGTCCTATCCTGTGCCATCCTCACACTTCTTGACACACTAGAGAGAGCCCGCTGCAACAATCACTGTGTCAAAACATCTGTTGAGGACCATCCTCTCTTTCACTGACTCTTCCTCATTCCAAGCATGATGATCCTCTCCTAGGAATAGCCCCTCTTAGCAACATGCCCTAAGTATGTGAGATGAAGCTTCATAATCTTTGCCTCCAAGGCACACTCTGGCTGCAGTTTCTCCAAGACATATTTGTTTATTCCTTAGGCACTTCATGGGATAGTCTTCAACACCACAGTTCAAAGGCATCAATTCTTCTTCTGCCATCCTTATTCATTGTCCAGCTCTCAGATACATAGCAAGTGACTGGAAAGACAATGAACTGAATCAGATGTACTTTAGATCTCAAACTTGTATCATTGCTCCTCATAATCTGAAGAGGTCTCTGACTACAGACTTTCCCAGTGCAATATGTCTCCTGATTTCCTGACTGCTGGTACCAAGGGTACTGACAGTGGATCCAAGCAAGAAGAAATTGTTCACAACCTCAATCTTTTCATCATCTACTATGATGTTGTCAACTGGTTCAGCAGGAAAAATATTTGTTTTCTTGTGTTGAGACGCAATCCATATTGAAGGTTGTATTCTTAAATCTTCTGCAACAAGTGCCTCAAGTCCTCATTTTCTGCAAATAAGGTTGTGTCATCTGCATAATACTGATGAGTCTTCCTCCAATCTTGATGCCACATTCCTGCCAGATTCAAGCTTCTCAAATAATCTGCTCAGCTTAAATCATATAGTATTCTCTTGCTTTGTTCCCATAACAATCTATTGGTCTAGCTATAGGTTTCACATGAGCACAGTTAAGTGTTCTGGGATTTCCTTTCTTCTCAATGTTAGCTATAACTTGTTATGATCCACATGGTCAAATGCCTTTGCATAGCCAATAAAGCCATTCTGAGAACTGGTAGGTCAGAAATAGGAGCAGTGTGGCTTACTAAAATCCCCGGATTATATATTAGATTATCCATGCTACCGCTACAGCTACTTATTAGCTCTCTGCCCTTGACCCTCAGCTCAGGCAACCCTGACCTTTGTATTCCTCATTTCTTCACTTCTATACTTGCCTGCTTACTTCCAATAATTACAATAGGCAAATATGAAGATGTAATATGTAAATACTCTAAAGACAAATTATAGTAGAATATTTAATACTAAGATTCTAGAAAGTAAAATCAATTCATTTTAAAAAAACAACCAAACCCAACAGTAGGAATCAAGCTGAAGAAAGATGTGATGCTGCAGATTGCCCAGACTCTCTTACCTGGGGGTGACCTGAGTGATGTCAGAGGGATGCAATATCCTACAGGTGGTGAAGGTGAAGGTCGAATTCGTGCAGGACAGACACTTTCCTGGGTTCGAGGCTGCAACTGAAAGCAGAGATATTGTCAGGGAATAACATGCAAAACTGACAATTCCGCTGTTTAAGATTTCACAGTTTTTTGTGAATAAAAGCACAACTATCGTCCCAGAGGCCCATGGTTCGAATCCACCAGATGCTCTGCTGGGAAAGAAGGGACAATCTCCTCCTGTACCAGTCAGATCTGATTTGACGGTACACAGACACACAAAATAATAATAAAATTTAAAAAAGTAAAAAAAAAAAAAGCACAACTATCAAGTGCTTTTCTTATTAAAGATCTCCAAATCTAAAAATAAAACATAGAGATTATGCTTGTATCAATTGTTAATACATTGCTCAATCCTTAAAACTGTTACTAAAAATAACATACAATAGCTTAGAAATTATGAGATAAATATATGCTGAAAAAATACACTAAAAAAATCAAAATGATCAAGAAAATATAAGCATACCAATGTAGATAACAAATGACCTAGTCTAGCACCCGTCCAAGTGTGGTCTGAAGACCCCATTGAAAGCTACAAAGTCAAAATTACTTTTCTAGTAATGTTAAAACGCTATTTGCCCTTTTGATTGTTGGTGTTTGTACTGAATGTGCAAAAAGCAACACTAGATAAAACTACTAACAAAAAAGTCAACAGTGCTAGTTTGCACTCATATTTTCACTGTCATGCTCTCAGTAGAAAACATTAACACAAAATCCAGAGTCACCTGAGAATGTCCATGATACAGTAGTAAAGACTAATTTGTTAAACCTTGCCCTGTGAATCTTTTTAATAAAGGGAAGTATGCATTACATACTTACATTATACAGCAAGGTAACAATGATTATGTACACTCTTGTGCATCTGTGTGACTTGAAAGTTTTTTATGGTATGTAGTTATTATTTGAAAGAACGAATAAAAAAACAATGACTATTTAGACTTGGGTTATCTGGTAGATATTTTCTCCAAAATGAGTAACATGCACTTCTTTCTACAAGAATACCCAGCTGGTATTACAGGCCCACCTCAATTGACTGCATCTTACCTTACTCCACTTCATAGAGAGGCAGCCTTTTCTTTCTTTCTTCTTTTTTAAAAAATTTATA